GAGACGAGAAGCAGGGTGGCGGCGCGATGACCACGCGCGAGAAGGCGCCGTTCAAAGGCCTTCAAGCCCCACTCTGAACGTAAAGTGCTTACTGAACCTCTCCACTCCTTTTTCTTTATGGCACTCTAGCACAATATCAGTTTTTTTTCAGCGACCCAACGGCCATACAGCAACATGAGTTCTGGCCTACTAAAACAATGGTTAGCCGACGAAACATTTCAAATTAGTTATGCAGATTGCAGGCAAAGACACTCTACAGTTCTCTATTACTGCAGTCTAGCTGACAAATTCGAGACTTCAGATTGCAAAGTGAATTTCAGTATCGAAAGGTGTGCATCTACAGCATACTGTAATTGTAATCACAACATTCAACACTAATGCAACACTTAAATTCGTGCTATGCACACAGCAGGCTACTTGCATGTTAAAAATAAGGGAGCTTGCTGAGCGCTCTGTTATTGCCTTGGTGATGGATGGATATATATCCTTCAATAGTCAGTGATATATGCATACTAGCTTTCACACTATTTTTAAGGACTGATTTATTGTCTCTTGGGTCTTTGATTCATGTGTGTACTTGGCTTATATAAACTATAATTTGGAGTTCCCAACCTTCCACATCGTACTGGTGATGTTGATCTCCCCATGAGGGAATTAGCAAGCATCCACATATAATACCAAACTTGAAAAATCTGGTAAGCAGTTTTCAAAAATATGGATAGCAAAATTTGCAAGTTCAGAGTGAGTGGAACTACAGAATTGACATGGTTACAACTATGTCGAGTATTTTCCTTTGTTACAGAAGATGTGGATCATCAGTGCATATTAACATATTGACTTTAGGATTATATATTAGATGTTTACATTTGAAGATTCCATACAGCAAATAAAGTAATCATGCTCTAATTTTTCCTTCACCGCTTGAACTGATAAAGATGAAAGCTGGCGACAGGTTTAATGTTCTGTTGTCTTATCGAGCTATGAATTTTCTGTGAAATGCATAGGGACGCTAAATGTGTTTGCTGACTACCTGTGATGACTACAGGTCCTAGAAATTACATATTCGATTTGTATCCTGTTATTGCATTGTTAGATGAAATCTCACGGACATTGAGTTTGTTAAGACCTCATCGTCCAATGATATGGGAAACAGAGATTCAACAATTTGATTACTTTCCTTATCTTGTCAGTGAAGAACCTTAGTTCTCGTGGTGTAATTTCGCACTTAATAATGATGGCCTCTCCTTCAGTGAACCATTTCAGATAGCGTGGCTCTATGCATGTGTCTCCTGTTATTTTCAATTTTATCATAATCTCTTTGAGTTCTGAGCACTATTAGACTTTTCTTCAGTTTGGTGACACTTGATCGGAGGCTCGGAGCATGGTAATGAAGAGTAGGGTTGTTTCTGCACATGGAGATGAGATATAGTAGGGTGAGGATTCATGATCCAGCAAGCAGTAAGAGCATCATGGAGCATTCATGATCCAGAAAGTGGGTAAGTTGCGATGACGTCGCATAATTCAGTAAGCTGCCTTCAGTGGATTATATAGTCCAAGTCAGCTAAAAATTTTTAATCCTACTTTTAAGCATTAGAAAATTTATTATTAGTTAAAAGCAAAAGCTTGCTGAATGAAAAGTAACCTGGTATTCAGTAACTAAATGTATTATATACGTCAATGTCCATTAGGCAACTAACAACCATGCAGTGTGTGAGTACTTGTATGACGGCAGATAAATAAAAAGAGACATTAGCATAGCGTTATGCTCAACAAGCCAACGAGACACAGCAGCAGGTGATAAGAGATGCCTGCCAAGGGGGTTATTTGTGAAACAAAGGAGAGAAAATCTAGCCAACATGGAGAACCGTTGCAACATTAGCCACATTAGAAATTGGATTGATCATGTGCAATTTACTCATTATATTGCAATGTCTTGTTTCTCTCGTAGCAACACACAGACATATTTGCTAGTAGAATAGAAGAAGAGTCGTCCTTGTTTGCTGTGGGGTGGTGCGGACTGCGGAGTGGATTTTTTTTATTTTTAACCTTTTCTTAAAACAAATTACAAATATAACACCGTTGCTTTTTTATTTTTAAATCTAACCTGTTTGGCCGCGCCTAAGTCCATGGCGCGGCTAAAACACGCTACCGCGCCACATGCATCGGCGCGACACGATCTGCCATGTCGGATAATGATTTTCATGTGTAAATTCTTGCCGCGCCACTCCCGTTAGCGCGACAGCACTGTAGCTCCACGCCAACAAGACTGGCGCGGCAAGACACAACCTTAGAAAAATTATATCTTTTTCATATGATTTCGGATGAAGATGATCTTTATATGAAAATTGACAACTTTTTAGTTTTGAGTTTTTCCATTTGAGGTCGTTAAGATGCTCAAAAAAATTAAACAATATTTCAGCAGTATATTAATCGTTTACAAGCGCTTGTCACCTTGGAAATATCATATCTTTGTTATATGGAGTCAAATGGAGATACTTTCTATATAAAAATTGCAGCTATCGATGAGATCTACAACTTTCTAGTTTTGAGTTTTTCCATTTGAGGTCGTTGAGATGTTTAAAAAAATTAAACAAAATTTTAGCAGTATATTTATCACGTACAAGCACTTGTCGCCTTGGAAAAATCATATCATTGTTATATGGAGTCAAATGGAGATACTTTCTATTTGAAAATTGTAGCTCTAGATGGGACCTAGGAATCTATAATTTTGAGTTTTTACATTTGAGATCACTAAGATGTTCAGAATAAAATAATATAAAGTTTCAGCATCGTATTAATCGCGTACAAGCTCTTTTTGTCTTAGAAAAATCTTATCTTTTTTGTACGTGTCAAATAAAGATACATTTTATATAAAAGTTATAACACTTGATGAGATCTATAAGTTTAAAGTTTTAATTTTTTTCATTTGAGGTCGTTATCTTGGGTGTGCGACGTGACTAATTACTAATCGAGAGTCGACTCGGGAGTTCAGGTGCTACAAAAACACAGAGTTTAATCATATTTTGGTTGGTAAAGATGAGTTAGACCAACAATAAAGTTTTTGACCTCAGGACTTGGAGGCACCTCAATAAAATCTTTGACGGACCGAAGTCTTTGAGGTCCATCCAACTCCAAGGGCTCTATTGGTACATTTTCCTTTTATTTGTAAGAACTTTTTCTTTTGGTGAGGCTGCAAAGACCTATTTTTTCTTTCTTCCAGTAAGGTTTCTTCTTGTATTTCTCCTGAGGGTTCTATCCTAGAGAGAAAGATAAGAAGCTAGGAGTCCACGGTTCAAAGGGCTTCAAAATAAAATTTCAAACCGTCTGGCCAATTCCACCAAAAAACAAAACGAATAGCATGTGGAAGTGGCATCAGACACCAATAAAACCTTTTATAAATTCTATTAAATAACTTATTCAAATTATTACTGAATTTTCTTTTGAATGAAAGTAGCATCAGATGCCAATAAAACCTTTTATAAATTTTATTAAAGAATAACTTATTCAAATTATTATTGAATTTTCTTATGGCATGATATGTCATAGTTTAATTTCTAAGTTTATTAGACCTCACCAATTTTACAATTAACGATGTGTACTATTACGTAGCTTTTTTTCACCATCTTTGGATTAAAATTTTATGCGAAGCGACGGCGAAAGTGTAAGTGAGATAATAATAATATGTGGTTCACTAAGCTATCTACCATGGCCATTGCACGCGGTTGGTGCACAGTTCTTTTCTATGAGCACCATAATACCATCACCTAACAAATCAATCATCTTCATCCGTTCTGAACTTCCGAGTCGACTCTTGACTAGTAATCACTCACATCGCGCGCAAAAGATAATGACCTCAAATAAAAAAAAAATCAAAACTATAAAGTTGTAGACCCAATTAAGTGCTACAACTTTTATATAAAAAGTATCTTCATTTAGCACCGTACAAAAAGATAAGATTTTTCTAAGGCGACAAGAGCTTGTACGCGATTAATACGATGCTGAAACTTTATATTATTTTTTCTGAACATCTTAGTGATCTCAAATGTAAAAACTCAAAACTATAGATTCCTAGATCCCATCTAGAGCTACAACTTTTATATAGAAAGTATCTCCATTGGACTCCATATAGCAGATAGATGATTTTTTCAAGGCGACAAGCGCTTGTACGCGATTAATATATTGCTGAAATTTTATTTAATTTTTTTGAGCATTTTAACGATCAAAATGGAAAAACTAAAATCTAAAAAGTTGTAGATCTCATCGAGAGCTACAATTTTCATATAGAAAGTATCTCCATTTGACTCCATATAACAAAGATATGATATTTCCAAGGTGACGAGCGCTTGTAAACGATTAATATACTGCTGAAATATTGTTTAATTTTTTTGAGCATTTTAACGACCTCAAATGGAAAAAATCAAAACTAGAAAGTTGTAGATCTCGTCGAGAGATATAATTTTCATATAAAGATCATCTTCATCCGAAGTCGTATGAAAAAGATACAATTTTTTTATGGGAGTGGCGCGACAAGGATTTACACGTGGAAATCGTTGTCCGGCCGCGCCGATGCATGTGGCGCGGCAGCGTGTTTTAGCCACGCCATGGACTTAGGCGCGGCCAAACGGATTAGATTTGAAAATAAAAAAGCAACGGTGTTTAGATTTGGAATTTGTTTTAAGAAAAGGTTAAAAATAAAAAAAAAAAAAATTCGCAGAGTGCTCCTGGAACATTGCCCTAGCAAGCCCAATCTTCCAACTATAAAGAATGCTAAACCATCCGGAGAGGAAGTCTATGTGCTTCTTTCCGTCTGCGATGTGACGCGCGAAACCATGACGAAGACTCGTGGAGGAAGCGTCGAGGAACCAACCAAAAGTCCAAAGCGCGCGGTCACGGGCTCATCACGGCTATTTCACCACATCTTTCCTCCGACTGTCCCACACATATACGTATATCATCACGGTCCGGTCACGGAGCAGGTCATCAGTAGACAGGCGACAGCCATGGCGATTATTCTTTGTGCATCACCCGCAGCGCCGCCATGGAGCTTGCTCTGCGCGCTCGGGGCCCTGGCAGTGGCGGCCCTGTGGGGTGCGTGGCGGGCGCTGGCGCGGTTCTGGCTCCGCCCGCGGATGCTGGGCCGCGCCCTGCGGTCGCAGGGCTTACCTGGCACGGCGTACCGCTTCCCCTCCGGCGACATGAAGGAGTTCCTCCGCCTCGCCGCCGCGGCCTACTCTGAACCCATGCCCCTGGCGGCCTCGCACGCCGTTGCTCCTCGAGCGCTTCCCTTCGACCACAGCATCACCAGGCAGCACGGTAATCTCGCTGTGACCTGGTACGGGCCGGAGCCGAGAGTGATCGTGAACGACCCCAAACTCACGCGAGAGATCCTGGCAAACAAGCACGGCGTATTTGGGAAGCAGAAGTCTGTTCTTTGGGTCGAGAGGCTGCTGGCCAACGGCCTGACGACCCACCAAGGCGAGAAATGGGCCACGCACCGGAGGATTATCAACCACGCCTTCCATCTCGAAAAGCTCAAGGTCACTTCTTTACACACAACCTCGATCTATATATATTGGCTCACTGTCGCAATATCATCGGACTCTTTGCAATACTGATTGATTCACCTGAAATTACCCAAGCCTATGCTTAACAAAACTTAAATTTAAGGTCCGATATTCTGCTCTGCTGCAACTGAAACATTGAATTCATTGTTTTTGGCAGAGGATGTTGCCAGCTTTCGCCGCATGTTGCGGTGAGCTGATAGGCAGATGGGAGAACTCTGTAGGCTCTGAGGGTATGCAGGAGATAGATGTGTGGCCGGAGTTCCAAAATCTCACAGGCGACGTCATCTCCCGCGCGGCGTTCGGGAGCAGCTTGAGTGAAGGCAGAAGGATCTTCCAGTTGCAATCGGAGCAGGCACAAAATGCTGTAAATATGGCAAACAGGATGCATATCCCAGCCTACAGGTGAGCTCGCATCGCATGAATATTCATTTATTTTAAAATTTGGTGCAAATTACATGGAGCTGTCAGAACAGCTAGTAGTGTAGCAACTGAAAAACACCAGCACCTGCCGAGACTGACCAGAAGAAAAATGGCATCAGCAGGCGCTATCCACCCAATTGCTTCTTCAATTGAAAAATTCTCCATTTACTATCTGACGTAAACCTCAGTAATTCTCAAAGCAGAAAATGAGACGTTGATTTCTTTACATAGGTTCCTACCAACAAAGCTAAATAAAAGGATGAAGGAAAACGCGCGTGAAGTTGAGACGCTTCTCAAAGGCATTATCTCAAAGAGGGAGAGGGCAATGAAGGACGGACTCGATAACGACGACCTACTAGGATTGTTACTGGAATCCAACACTAAAGAAAGCGAGGAAAGTGGGAGCACCAAGGCAATGATGAGTACAGAGGACATAATCGGGGAGCTGAAGCTATTCTACTTCGCAGGGATGGAGACAACCGCAGTGCTGCTCACATGGACAATGGTGCTTCTGAGCATGCACCCTGAGTGGCAGGATCGCGCGAGGGAGGAGGTTCTTCGCATCTTTGGGAAGAACCAACCGGACTCTGAGGGCATCAATCAGCTCAAAACTGTGAGTCCAAAAATGCCAAGACATAATATTCTGAATTTTTTTCTCGTTTCAGTCACAAATCTGCAAAGCTCCAGCTGATGCCTTTTTGTGTCCCAGGTTACAATGATATTACATGAGGTTCTGAGATTGTACCCGCCTATACTGCTACTTGGCCGGGAGACGTATCAGGAGACAGAGCTTGGAGGGGTCAGGTACCCACCTGGTGTTGTATTTTCGTTGCCAATTGCGTGCATCCACCACAACCCAGGAGTTTGGGGAGAAGACGCAGACGAGTTCAGGCCGGAGAGGTTCGCGGAGGGCGTCTCCAAGGCATCCAAGGACGCGCCGGCGTTCTTTCCGTTCGGCTGGGGTCCGCGGATATGTGTTGGTCAGAACTTCGCGTTACTGGAGGCCAAGATGGGCTTAGCCATGATCCTGCAACACTTCTTGTTCGAGCTCTCACCGTCTTACACGCATGCACCGTGCGCGGTCTCCACTCTGCAGCCACAGTATGGGGCGCAGATTAAGCTTAAGAAACTCTAATGTTTTTTATTAAATGGCCAGCGAACCATAGAACTAGTGCTTAGCTGGTGATCTTGGAAGGGATCGGTCGTATGGCTGTAAACTTATACGATTATATAAATGTAAAACATATTAAATAATGCTTTTATGTGATCAAGGCGTTTAAATAAACTTATACGCTGGCGTTGGAGCTGTTTATGTGCGAGGGGTTTCCTGTGTGGGTCGACCCAATGTTGAAGGAGCTCGCCGCCTCACTAGTCATGAGCACCCCAGCAGGAGCACCAACACCTGGGTGCTCGATTGCTCCGGCAGCCGCTTCTCGGGAAGTGGACGCATCGCTGGTGGACAGCCGTTCTCCGTTGCTTGTGCAGGGGCCACCACAGGTCACACCGCCACGGGGATAGCCCGACGTCATGGATGCTGAGGCGTGCTCTGATCCGGCGCTGGTCGGGGCTGCCACCCCGGGAGACATGACGGTCGTGGCTACCACGGACGCCGTCAACCGTACTCCATCCCCTCAGACGTCCTCTACCGACAGACGCCTCAAGCGCTTCATCGAGCGAGTCACAAAGGCGAGGCAGCCGTCACTCCTGGAATTGCCCGGAGTTGATACGGTCCACGGCGGATGTGCACCGCTCGTGCTCCCCAAGAGAAGCAAGTAGATAGCGGCACAGAGCATGTCACATATCCCGGTGTCCAAGTGAGATGAGCACACTATCTTGAAGCGCCTAGGACTAACCACTGGGATGTGTTCTCAAGTCGGCCATGAAGGCGTACGAAGAAATCTTCAGTGGTGACCCCGGTAATATGCAGGCGCTTCGTGACTTGTTCCCATCGGACGGCGATGTCTGTGTGCGCAAGCAACGCCGCCGCCGCCCGGGAGCCCGGGCATAGGTCTCCTAGCCGGCGCCGTAATTTAGGATGATCGGTGTCAAATATAACAGTATAACTTTCAATGTACTAGGGAGGGTCCGAGCGTCCATGTAAAACTATTCTGACCACTAGGGCGCCGCTAAGGCGTGTTGTATTAAATTTTTTCTCTATCTTAATACAAAGATGCATAAAACCTTTTGCGTAATGAAAAAAAATCAAGGTGCTTAAATAGCGTTTTTAGTGATTGCTAACACACTCTAGCGGTGGTATTAATAAAAAATTGTTCCCTTAATGACTCATATAATTATATACAAATGATATTAATAAAATATTTAAGATCATATTAATATCTATGGCATATAATTTATGGAAAATATTCTTTGATATATTTATACATTTTAATTTACAAACATTTGGCATATCAATGTCGATAATATGATTATAGAGTAAAGTCTGATTCACCCCCTGACTATCTGCTAAATTTGAAACCCCCTCCCCTCCTCGAATTTCAATAGCAAACAACACACACCTTAACTTTTAAAATCAGATAAAATACTCCCCTTAACCATTTTAAAGTGGTTTTTTTTGGCAGTTTTGCATGTGACGGTGGGGCTCATTTGGTCACTCTTTCTCTTATATATAAAAAGCATAACTTTTTCATATAAATTTGTATGAATTTAAATTTTATATCAAAGTTTTAGAGCTCAAACTGAGTTACAACTTTCTAATTAATAAATTTTTTATATATTTTTTAGGCTCAAATATTTGTTTTAATTTACTAGATTTTAAAATTTATTTATTTTTTCTTTTTCAAATGACTCCGGATGTTGACATAGTTCATACTAAATTTGAAGTTCCTAGTAAGGTTTACAACTTTATTGTTGACAATTTTTTTTATCTGAGAATATTTTTAGAGACCCAAATATTCATTTTAAGTTCTCTAGTTTTGAATTTCGTTTTATTTTTGAATTTTTCAAACAACTTTAGATGTTGACGTGGTGTACACAAAAGATGTACCTTTAAATATGTTCTGTAACTTTGTAGTTGGTAACATTTTTATCTAGTGACGTTTAGAGGCTCAAATTAATTTTAAAAAATCTTGTAACTTAAAACAAATATTTGAGCCTCTAAAATATACTAAATAAAAAATTTATCAACTAAAGAGTTGTGGATCATACAACTTTGATATAAAAGTTTGTATTCATATGACTTCATATGAAAAGTTTATGACTTTTTATATAAGAGAAAGAGAGAAGCCAAATGATAGGTAGGCTGCCCCACTGCCACATCAGAGAAGCCAGCCAATAAACCACTTTGAAACAGTCAATGGGATATTTTGTCTCGTTTTAAAAGATAAGGTATATATGTTGTCCTATTTGAAGTTTGAGGGTGTCTTTCAAATTCTGCGACTAGTTCTGGTGGTGAACGGGACTTTACTCATAATAAAGCAAGAAGGTTAGTGCAAATTAAATGTGGATGTGGCCTTCGTAAAATCTTTTCTAGTAAATAATGATTATAAGGTATAAATATTGATATCCTCTTAAACCATCCTAGATCTCACATCAAGCTCTACTGCTGATCTTTGAACAATGTGGTGCATGTCGTTTGTGTTATCTTATCTTAATACTTAAGAGTGCAATCTGCGACCTAAAATCCTTATTTTTAATAAAATATGAATAATATAGTTAATAAAAGATGCACTAATAAGCATGAGAATTCCAACTTAACTTGAGGATAAAAAGAAATCATGACAACTAACAAGAATTTAAAAAACGAAATATAGATTCATTACCTCATTAGAGACGGCCTACAATAGGAGCCACCATAATTTAAACTAAGGTTTTGAAAAATACATATTAAAGATGCACAGAGGTGCCATGTGGAGGAGAAAAAACTATGAATATGGATGAAAAAACATATAGATTATTAATTGATAATTCTCAGAGCTAGGCAGCAGAGTACCTATATATATCCAGAAAATGTACAAAAAAATCATGCAAATTAATATAATTTATAGGTATTAAATATGAACACATAATATTTATATGTTTCATAAGATTATAGACTCGACATGAGCATGGGTTGATGCATTAGTTATAAAACAAAGTATCCTTTATGGCGCTTCTAAATTACCCACCTCAATCCTAATAATATATTATTAAAATAAATTCAATATATACGTGCATGATGCATGGAACAATGGAAACCATATGTACGTGTATGAAATTAACATGGAGACTCTTATTGAAGCCTCTAGTCAGTGTAATAGTAAGATATGTAACCTTATAACCTAGACGTAACTGAAGGTAGATGTGTCTTCGGTTGAGGAATTGTCTTTCCTTTCTATACCTCATGTGGCTACCCCTTGCCACTCTTTATATAATTCTGGACGAGGTTGTCGGGGGATAGACCCGTACCATAGACGGATACCAATATTGAACGTACCATAGACGGCTACCAACCCCTTTATTGAACGTACCATAGACGGCTACCAACCCCTTTCTATATCTTTTAGTTTCTTGGTGACCTATTTGATACCGTTTCTAAAATATCTATAGTGGCTTTCTTAGAGGATCTCCAATAGTTTTCAATCCCACCTTCCAATCTTTTCGTGCTTGGAAATATAGACCGATTGCATGGATATGTTCGCGCCACTCGTGTATCCATCGGCTAGTAAAGGTGAAAGGGCGTGAGAAAAAATAAAGAGTGAGAAAGGGTTTCTGATGTAGATGTACAAGAAAGAGTATATAAAAGTGATTTGGATAATTTGGAAATAGTATAGGATTCCTGATGTAAAGTTGTCTTCTATATTTTTATTTGAGAATTACACAGTACAACTTAGACGGCCACAACATGCACACACACTCACCCTTATGAACACACGTACGCAAACTCTACTCCAATGAGCATCTCTGGAAGACCGAGCCGACATATCTCGAGATTTATGAAGTCACTTTATTTTAGGAGCGATGGTCTTATTTATTTCTTCCAATAACTTTTGACCGGTTGAAAAACTCCATGGTTTTACAAAGAAATTGTTGGGAAATCTTCAAGATGCTCTCATAATATGTACTTGTATCATTGTAAAAAAACTCGATCCGCGGTGGCCAGACAACCCCGGACATTCTGGCTTAAGAAGAAGATCTTCTCACGTAGATCGAGAAAACCTCCTGAACCCCTGCCCTACCCTTACACAACGGCACCACGTTTCCGTGAGATGAGCTACCACATGTGCTTTGGACGTGGGGCAGACGAGGGAGTTTTTTTTTTCGCTGCGATCGAAGCCACAAATAAAGAGTGAGTCCCTTAGGAATTCTGACCAACCCAGGGGAGGTACTGAGCATGCACTACATGTATCATTGTGAAATTACTAAGTTAAACTAATGGATCAAATAACAGCCAAATATTTTGTTGATTATGTTTTAACTTGCAAGAATATTCAACGTTGAAATTTCCGTGTGGATGGATTGGTCTATGAATTTCCATGCTTGTTCTTATACATGCATGACACAACTCTGTTCCTCCTGTCTCTGTTTTCCTTCACGGATAAGGGATGAAGGGTACGCCGTGCGAACAGAACAACCAGGAAGGACACGAGTAACTACCCACCCACGTACCATTTCCAT